CCTTGAGAAAAACATTTCGAGCAAACTCCAGGCTTTGTATACTTTTCCCACCGCAAAACTCAAGGGCTTTTCAACCATTTTTCAAGGTAAGTTGTTCAACTTTTCCACCATCAAACTTTGGAGGAGTCTGTGCACCTTTCTCCATTGAGCTTTAGAAACACACACACTTCCCTGTGTGAGGGGAGCCTGTGCAAATACTGCAAGTTTTAGTATTAAGCCACTGCTACTTTTTGTGTAATTAAACCATAAGCTAACCACCTTTACTAGTGTTTTCAATAAAAATGTTTTGTTCCTACGCATTTTAAAGTATAGTAGATGATATGAAGCACTGACTCCCATCGCAAAAAGCTGCAGCTCCTTCTCGCATACCCTTCAGAATTTGGTCCTCATTTCAGCCACTCTTTATATTTTCGAGCCAGCGCTGTTTTCTCCTTCTCACTGGAAACAGGATCTCTGAGACTTCATTGAAGGCACTTTCTATTTTGTGCCATTAACGTAAAAAAAATCACATTGAGGTTTTTAATCAAACTGTTTGAGTGTTCTTTATCACAAAACGGTGCAGTTGGAACATCAAGCACTTTCAAAACCTTGAAAACATGTTAAAATTTAAGTATTTTCAAGGATTTTAAGCACCTGTATGAAACGTGAAACTCGTGATGTTGCGAAAGGTCGCACTTTGAGTTTGTGTTGAGAATGATTCTCAGCTACCACATTAAATTTAGCTGAATATCCATGAAACTGACAGTTTTGTGTTGGTTGATGCTGGCAGCCACCTGGAACTGGATTGGCACCGCTTTATATACAAATTCCTTCTTGGCAGTGTGCAAACTTATTTGTCTTCCTGCATGTTTGCCTGATGCGCTCCTCCCTTTGCCTGTTCGTTTTCTTCCGCTCAGTGGAAACGCAAAGAAGGCGTGTGTGTGTGTCTGCATCTAAGGAGGAAAATAAAAGGAAACAGAATCATTTTAAAAGGAACAGTTCCCAGTTCCCTGTGATTCATTTGTCATTGTTCGTTTTAAAGAGCTGCTCAAAAGATCCGGATCGTTCTCAGACGTCACATCTATGTGATACTTTGATTCAGTTGCAGTCTGCATAGTATTTATTACATATTCTTGTACCTTTGTTTAAAACAGGTCTTTCTTGAGAATGAGAGTTACTGTGTCAGTGAGATTCTCTGTAGAAATTAAGGTGAAAATAATTCRGTTTTAAGCATAATTTTTAACTTTGGACCCCTGTTTATAATAATACAAAATTCTCTCAGGCTGATCTGGTAGCCAAGGTTTTCTTATTGTAAAAATGTTTCTAAAGTGACTGCATGTCCTTCAAATACAAAAACAATCAAAGAAAACCTTTTTATATTTTTAAGAAGCTTGATACAACACACGTGATTTTACCAATTTTGCCACACAATGGGAATATTTTTGTTTGAACTTCCATCCATCCATCCATTTTCTGTACACGCTTCTTCCTTTTCAGTGTTGCGTGGGTCACTGGTGCCCATATCCAGCAGTCACAGTGCGAGGGGCAGGGTACACCCTGGACAGGACGCAAGTCCGGCTCAGCCAAAGTGAAACAAGAAGTGACATCAAAGGGGTAACTCTCTGCTCTTTTTTCATTGAAATAATATTATTGGAACTCTGTTTCATCTTCATCTCTCTGATAGTGGCTTAAAATTATTTAAAGAAAATCTGATTCTTCTCTACAGTCTGTGTTGTTAGCCAGAGTAGCAGTGCTCTGTTTACATGCAGACATCCCCCCTTTGACATCACTTCCTGTTACTTCACATGTGAATATCTCAACAGCTGTTCATCTCACCAGTGTGAATTTTTTTTTGCAATACGTTATAAATGTTCTCTTTCCAAAAATGAATTCATAATCATTACAAAAATTKGATGCCACGGGCACTTTAACCGAACCTGAAGACGCAGAAAGTTTTGAAGATATTTACTGTCCGTGARTTTTGTCATGTTAACGTGAACGGACTCCTTAACCTCAAAGCAGGATTACTGTATATTGTAGGATTCAGCTGAATTTACATTTCTCTAAAAGAGATGAGGGACAAATCTGAGGATTACTAAACTGCATCTAAAAATCAATGAAAGGGTGGGGGGGGGACTCAGCACTTAAGCTCTGCTCTCTGAAACAGCAAAGCACATGAGTTTGCATTCTTGACAAAGGAAGGATGTATTTAAGAAGTGGGGTTGGCTTTTTGTTTGCTCTTTTTGTAGCACCCCAGTATAGGTAGAGAGTTGCTTTAATGGCTGAGACGGCCTTCACTTAAATAACCTACACAGCAGATTTTTTTTCCCGCAGACAAGGGTAAAATCAGATGCTTCCATATTCAGCAGCAAAGCCCTGAAGATGTTGGTGCTTAGAGCATGTTGGCAGCTTCTAAAACATTTTATAACAACCAATGAACGCAGGCAGAGATTTTAAAAATCAAGATCCCTGTGTGTAATTTTCACATTGTGTTCTGGTTTGCAGTGCTGGCTCTAGCCATTTTGGTGCCCTAGGCGAGTTGAAGCGCACCCCCACCCCCCCGAACTATGTCCCACCCACCCCAATTTG